CTCGACTGTAAAATCTTCATGGTGTGATAACATTTGCGATTTTTTCCCAACACACGAAGTACAATAACCTCCATAATACTCTATAGAATAAACGTATACCGAAAGACTGGTCGAGGCCTTGTTAGCAGACCAATTATTATGGCACAGATCGAGAACGAGTTATTGTGGACAGGTCTCGATACATCAATTCCCTGAATCGTTTATGTGTCGGACTCGAAGCTATTAGATAAGTTTGAGCGAATAGAGTTATAAGGTTACTACAACGTGCCACCTGAAAACTCGATTCTTTTATGAATAATATATTTCCTTTCAGAGAGAATATAATTATTTAAGCTTGGTTTTATAGCTGACGCCGCGATTATTTTCGTCGTAGTCTTTTGATACGAGTTTTGCGTGTGTGCTGATAGTGCTTCTGCGCGTCTTTAATGCGCAGTTTGTTGGCGAGGAATTGTTCAGGTAAGTACGTCAACAGTAGTATATTTAAACTTTATATTTATCAGACGTAGGATTGACCACTTGCTAGTAGTCATTAGACAGCATAGAGTACATTATCCCAGCGATAAGCTTCACTGAATCCCGTGTACGTACGTACACGTTAGCTCGAGTTTCTCGTCCAGACTTCTCGAAAAATACGATTTCACAAAGTTCGTGGCAATGCTGTACACTTTCGTCAACCTCTAAACATCCGCGAGTGCTTGAGCAAGGCCCTGCTGTAATCATCTCGCTTTGCCAAACACGTTTGTCCGGCGCTGAAGCACAAATCAAAGTCTCCATCTCCGAGGACACGCTTCGCCTCAACTGTTTCTTCGGTTGGGATCTGAACATCTCCATTGAACAGCGCACAGACACTTGCAAGCTAGGGCACAATGAAGTTTGCTTCTTGACCAATCCCGACGTATCCAAAAGCTTCGAATAAGATTGGCTATATGCACAGCGTCGAGCTTCTTTTAAGGGATAGGCTTCGACGTCTGTTCAAACCTAGCAGCAGGCATGATATTGTTGATCTCCCAAACCCATGGAGCCAAAAAACTTCTTTTTTTTGTTCTTGTCGAAACCTCATTCAACTTGTCCCACCGTCTTTTGCGATCAAGATGCAGTGCTGTCTCAGGTTCCCGGCTTTCGAATTTCTCCCGGTCTACCACCACCAACACGTGAATGGCCTTCTTCGTCGGAGCGTCGCCGAACAAGTGACCAATCCCATCTGCCGAATCCATTTCCACGTTCGGCAGTGTCTTGACTTGCTCAGAAATGTCTCCACTTCGCATAGAATCACATCAGGTCTTTTGACTTCAGCCACGCGCTAACCCTCCGTCTTCGCCGGAAAGAGCTGCAGATTCTTTGTATCGACGTCCGTCAAGTCGTTCGAATTCTTCTCGTTTATTGCTTCATCCAAGTCATCTGCCGAGACGCTTTCGTCCACTCGCACCAAGCACGCGCTGCCCGCCACACCAACAATTCCACAAAAAAGCTTTAACATCTTTTTTCGAGCAGGCATAACAATTTCTAACGTACATAGCGGACATGATGGTGTGTGTCAAGCAATAATGAGACGCTGGTCCGAACTAAACCTTGAGGTCGACGTAATGCTCTATTGCATAGTTTGAATGCGGTCCACGGTGGCCCTAAAATTTAAAAGACGTGGCTCTCGCTATAAGGTGGATCAACGTCTGTTAAATCTCACCGGTTGAGCGATTTTTGCGATTAACCTAACATTGAAAAGACATTGCTTTCACTCCCAGGTGGTCGGAAGGTTGCGTCGTTTAAATAGCACATTGCCCGAAATAAGGCTTTAGCTGTTCTCGCTGGTAAATTACGGTAAGGAAAAAAACTGCCGGCGTACTTTTCTAAGACCCACTGCTACTAACACCAAGCTTAGTAATCCCAAATTTGATCAACGCCGTAGCAAGCATGGCACAAATCTTATAAGGGTGTATTTAGTACAACGAAAGTGCACCAACAAGCAGTATCTACGCCTTGAGAGCGTAGCGGCGCTTGGGGAAGTACGACTCCTTCTTCTGCTGCTTTAAAGTCTTGATCGACTTGTCGTGCTTAGAAAGCTGACGGCGAATAGCGCGCGTCTTCTTACGGCGCAAGTCTAGCGGTACGTGCTTCTTGTTGCCCAAAGCGGAGCGGAGTTTGGCCTTCTGGTTCTGGTTGTAGACAGTCAGTACACGGGCGATAGACTTGCGCACCACACGGATCTTGCTTAGCTTAGAAGCAGCACCACCAATAACCTTCGCGACGCGAAGCTGGGCTAGCTCCTGCTGGTAGTCGTCCAGCTGGCGAAGTAGCTCTGTCTTGCTTTTTGTACGAAGCTCATGCGCCTTGATCTGAGCTGCACCACCATCAATGTAGGAACGTTAGCACTTTATTAAATGTTTGGTGATGTGAATTAGTCGATCAGATGGACAGCGGGCAAGAAGGCAGGTGGCATTCACTAAAGTGATTAAGGTCAGATTCAGCGTCGTCGTGTACTTAAGCTGTCTTCGACTCGCTATGCAGCCGCTAAGTAACTTTGATCGTCTGCCTCTGCCCCTTCACGGATAAGCTCCCAGAACAATTGCAGCTGTCCGTCTTCGCGATTATCACGCTTACGATCAAAGTCTTACCCATTGTTTCCTAGTACCTCAAACTTCCCTTTTGCAAATAGTTCGATCGGTTGGTTATCGAATGACTGGTGCTGCTCAGAATCCTTCAAGCAACGTTCAGTCCACCGCCTCTAAGGTACTAGATCTGCACTAAGTACTGTTAAAGTGAGAAAGCCAGATTAACGGCAGTGGAGATTGCGAAAAAATTGTAGCAGGGACAGAAGCATTTGTCACCATACTTGCAACTAGAAAGTTGCAGGTAGCTCGAAGAATAGTCACTACACTTCAGCAAGCAGTAAATCGAGAAATAGCTGATATCCGCATACTAAAGACCACGCTGATTAAAAAGCTATCGGGACAGCACTACATTTACTCTACCATCTGCGTTTGAAAACTATTAGATCGCTTGCTGAATCAGCGTGCTCATATGTCGCGCAAAAGACAAATTTAATTGCATGACGACGTTTTTGGATAGCCGTCAAGGTTATCAAGCTCGCGGATGGGTGATAATTCAAAATTGTGATGTTTTGTCGCCGCTTTGATAGAAAAAAAATGGTTTAGACGAGCAATAAAAGCACAAAAGATCTCGTGAAAATCTCTAGCGTCAATTTTATGACCAGTCGACCAGGCTAGCAACATATTTTTAAGTTTTTGAAGTCATGTGTAGAAGGTGTCTTGAGTGCAAAGCTTCAAACGCGATTCAGTGAAGCCTCGAGTCCATCGGGCGAAATGTAGTGAGCATTGAAGAACATATAAAAGCGAGAAGGACTCGACTGCCGTTGTTCTGACAACTTTTGGCAACCCCCTGGAAATGGAGCCGTCTCATTTCTCAAGCTCTTCCACGCGCCTATCGTCATTAGACTCAAATTTTAGCGCAGAACGTAAATCTCAATGATAAGAGAATAAATGAACGGAAAGCGAAACAAAAACGTTTTGATAATTTAATAAGGTATCGATCGATATTGATTAAAGCAAGTGTGCAGATGTGAGCTTTTTATGGCACAGAGCTTGCAAGAATATCATGTGTATCCTTTGTCGAATGATTCACGTTTTATTAAAGTCGAGAAAGCAAAATGGATCATACCGACATTTGCGTGTATTGGATACCTAGACTTACTTTGGTTGGAAAAATACACGAAGGTTCTTTCGCGGTGAAGTTGTTTAATGTATCTATGAACAGCAAATTTAAGGTCTGTATAAATGTAAATAAACAAATAAATCAGCGTGTTGATACTGACTAGCTTTAAACTTGTTCCCAAGCATGTTACCTGAATTGCACTATCAAGGTTGAGCATATTAGTGGTTAACATTCCTGACACTTCAATGACAACTGCCAATGGCTTAAGAAGCCTCAAAAAAGGTACTATTGTTTTAATTCATTAATCTTAGAATATTTTGTGAATGAATAGATACAAAGTCGATCGTCAAATACTGATAAAATCATATATTCGAAGAATTATATAGGCAACAGTTTGCTCAGGACTATCTGAATACAATATCCACCCAATCAAATGGGGGTAGTCGCTTCCGTTTTAAGGTTGGTGGTAGAGAACGGGCAAGATGGGTCATATTAAAAACGTTTCGCGTCCAATCAACAAGAGATGAGTATCTTAACAGTACAATGGCTTGAGTAATACTTGACGCTTAACTACAAGGCTGATCCTAAGAAACCCTTTTACAATATTTATCCCATGGAATAACGCCTAGACGAGGGTGTTGAGGCCACTGCTTTCTACGAAAATATGGAGAATGTGCTTTAGACTCAAGCGAGTGGATTTAGGGTATATATTGCTCCTGGGTACGACCTTGTTAGAAGACGGATCTTGATGATACTCGCTACTTGCAGCGGGGCTGCCGTAGATTTGCGCTTGAGGAAGCATAATTTAGGTCACCGACCTTTCGTTCTTTACAAGAACCAA